TTCTTTCACCTCTCTCCTCCCACTGAAACCCTTCTTCTTCCCAAGCTCCACTCCTGGTTTCATGCGTGTGTGTACATGTGTGTGCATGTGTGTGTGTGTGTGGTCACTTACTGAATAATAGATAAACTTATCAGTGGCTACCCTATTGAAGAAAATGACACATGGTCCCACCTTCCTACCCTCTTATCCTACCATCCTGCCTGGTAACCATTAGCTTCCAGTAGACCCTCAATGTGAAAAGTCAGAGATTTATATGTAGATTAGTTACTTTTGAATCACCTGAATTACCTGAATCACCTGAATTACCCTGACCACATAAACAAGGGAGAAAAGCTTTATTTTGGTTTGTGGTTTCTGAAAGATTCCAGTCCATTTATAGTAGGAAATACAGAGAAGCTCAGGTCATGGTGGTGGAGGCATATATTCACATCATGGTAGACTAGGAGGTAGAGGTCCTAGATCTGAGCAGGCATAACCTTCAAAAGACCCATCCCCCCTACTGGCCTAATTCTATCAGCTGGGGTTCACCTTTTAATGGCTCAACAGCCTTCAACATTGTGCTGTGCTCCAAGCTGGAACCCATTGTTCAAAACACGAGCTTGTATATGACATTCCTGAGTCATACTATTACAAAACACGTGACTCTAAATGGCTACCCAAATGAGAAGGGAGGTGGAGATGGAGGCAGAGGAGGAGGGGGATCTGTAATCAGAACATATTGTATGAAAAAATCTATTTTCAATAAAAGAAAAAAATCCACAAATAAACTTATAGCCATCCTAAGCAAGCAATTAAACAACAACAAAACAAAAACAACAAACACAAAACCATTGATGAGTGCAAGTTTACATTGTGTTTCCTAACAATGTGCAATAAACATCAGTATGAGAGGATATATGGATGTTAATAGTTATCTATAGTCAGCATACATGCTAATTTCTTTTCTAGTTACTGTTGTTAGATACCTACCCAGAAAAGGCAACTTGAGGAAGGAAGGAGGGAATATTCTGGCTCATGGTTTGAGAGTGCTTGGGGGAAGGCACCACACAAGCTCTCAGCTAAGCAAACCACTGAAGAAGAGAAAAGGAATGTGTTTGACTGTCTCTCTTTCCTATTTTATTCAGTCCAGGATCCCAGGCTATGGAGTTGAACTTACCATATTCAGGTTGGGTCTTCCATAGATGGAAGACGCTCCTAGATTTGTATTCCCTAGGTGAATCAAAATCCAGTCTAGATGACAATGTAATTTAGCCAAGACAATATCTTTGGGAAAACACCAGAATAAACAAAAGGAAGCATGTTGTTTTAGTAAAACTTAACTAAAACATTGTGTGTGTGTGTGTGTGTGTGTGTGTGTGTGTGTGTGTGTGTGTAGTTCTTAGGATCGAACACGAGGCCTCATGCATTTTGAGCAAATACTATGTCACTAAGCTAAAGTCATAGACCCAAGACTTATTATTATTTAACAGGAGTATTCTCAGTTTCAGAGAGTGAAAAATGCAGTTGATAGCATGTCAGAATTATTTTTGCAAATAATCTCTCCTCTCTCTACTCACTGAGATTCTCTGGGAAAATGACAGTTAGCACAGGTGCAGGAGCTGACTAATTAAGGAAATGTGGGGCATTTCAGAAGTTTTTATCTTCAAATGACAGTTCCCACGGTGGTTTTTTTTTTCAGGCACTGTAGCATGCAAAGGGGAAAGGGTTTTGAGTAGTGATTCTCCTAATTCATGTCATATGAAGGCATTCAGACTCGTCCCTTCATCTTGACAGAAAAGAAGGAACCGAGAAGGTCAACCAGAGAACAAATTAGAATGTGTGAGGAGACGAGTCACTTTAGAACTAAAGTAAAATACAGGCTCTTCATAGCAAAAGTCAGCTACATTGGATAAACACGAGAAACGTGTGCTTGGGCCATTCAGTTCAAATATTGAGATTTGGATAATAAAATGGAGATATAGAAAGAATGTGTTGTTATATATGGAAGAGTAGCAGGAAGACGGTGGAAAATTTGTGATAGGGGCTGGAGAGATGGCTCAGCGGTTAGAAGCATTGACTGTTCTTCCAGAGGTCCTGAGTTCAGTTCTCAGCAACCACATAGTGGTGGCTCACAACCATCTGTAATGGGATCTGATGCTCTCTTCTGGTGTGTCTGAAGAGAGTGACAGTGTACTCATATACAATAAATAAATAAATAAACAAACAAATCTTTAAAAAAAAAGAGAAACTTTGTGATATTAGAAATATTGTTCTTTCCTGGATCTTTTGGGGGAATGGGCTAGCAATAGAGACAGGCTACTCAAAGAAGTGGAATACAGTTTTGAAAGAACACAATGACAAGATTATCCGTACACAGAGCTTAGTTCTTTGATTAAGATCATTGTAAAGGTCAGGTTTCCTGATTTGGTTGACCTGGGTGTATTAGCACTTGGTTCCATCCTCCGTCTTTTCCTTTCCCTGTTCCTCCCCCATTTCCTTCTTTAGCAGCTGGTAGAGACTGAACCCAGAGCCTTGACTGTGTTGAGCATATGGTCTACCAATAAGTTGTCACCATCCAGGACAAAGCTTCTTTCATAACACAAAGTTCCTGAGTCCTATATTTAACTCTTAGATGCATAAGTCATTGAGGTTGACTTCCAGGAATGGGAGTGGAGCATCATCTTTCAATCTGGGATTACATTTATTTAGTGTGCTAAACCAGATTCTGTTTAATTAGATAAACATGAAGTACAGAACACACCTATGATGTATTATAATGTTTAATTTTAAACCAGTAAATCCTTAGCTAGAACATGTAGTTTCCAGAAAACAGAGACGACAATGGAACAAAATCAATGCCAATATGTTTGTCTAAATAATCAGCCAAACTAAAAGTTCAACATTGTTTGGGATATTCCTTCAATGAGAATGACTGGTTCTTTCAATAAGTCAGGATTATAAAACAGGGACTGTCAGATAAAGTCAGACTTTAAAGAGCCATGTTAACAAGATGCAGTATGGGATACTAGATTGGAGAATGGTTGGGAAATGAAGCTTTGAAGTCCACTTTCTATCTGAAGGCAGCCCTTCTCATCATGTAGATTGTTTCTCCTTCCTGCAGCTGTCTCTTAACAAACTTCGCTTATGCTGGTCCAACTTCTTATACATGACTTGATAGATGAGCTAACCCAGCTTTCTGAATGCTCATAGGAAGTGTCCCCTGCTGAGGCCTCAGCATAGCCGTGTAGCTAGTTCAGCCTTCTCACAGTATGGGAAATGCTGTTGCTCTGCAAGTGGATGTTTATGATTCAGATGAGGAGAAGCAATTTCCCTAACATTGCATAGTAAGTGGCAGAGTCAAAAATCTGTATTCGACTATATCCTTTTCTACAGTCACTGGGTTCCACTACACCTAGTTTACACAGCAGAGTACCTGTCCTCTTGTGCTGAAATAGGGATGGGGATATGCTAGGCTGTGAGAGTGTCAAAGGAGGCTCTAGGAAACACTAGGGACACATACTTGAAAGGACTCTTTGGAGACATTGCAAATGGAGGTCAAATAATGGAAACCGAGAACAACGTCAACAACAACAAACTGGGAAGGTTGGGGCATGTGTAACAAGTTTGGATAAAAACCTAGGGAGAGTGACTAGAGAGAAATGTACTAAGTTTGCAAATATGGAAGTCCAGGTTATATGCATCCTTGGAATGCAGTGGGGAGGCCTGTACTATTTACAGGCTAGGAAACAGATTTATGTGCATAAAATGCACATGCTCCTAAAAGTCCAATGGTATCTGGGACAAGAAAGGAAACTTATTCTTAAGGAGATGTACTAGCCTATGAAACAGGAGAGGAAGTCACACTTTAAAGGTAACATGGTCCTGTTATCTACAACTGTCCCTGAATTGGCCACTAGCAGACTTTTTAATGTGAGAGAGAGAGAAAAAAAGTTATTTCTGATTTCTTTTACTAGCAGATAATTCCTAGTAAATGAAGACAGCATGGGCTAGATTTGGTACCGTATCTGTAATTGGCAGTTGGAAAACAGAGGCAGGAGAATCCTGAGTTTGAGGCTAGCCTGGACTGATCTACATAATGAGTCCCAGAGTAGCCTAAGCTACATAGTGAGACCTTGTCTTGAAAAAATAAGAAACGAACCAAAAATACTGATGGTATGACTTGAGGAGAGCTACCACTGATCAAGTATTTCTTGAGAATTATGTATCAAATATTTATAGATAAGGAATCTCACATTTTATTATCTGCTAAGGATAGAGCTCACAGTAAAGGATGCCAGGCAAATATATACACACCTAAATAATTAAAGGATACTGTCCCATGGTTGTTCATCCACATATTAGAGACAGTTGGCCAAAAGACAAATGGGGAGCAAACTTTGATAGATCATATACTCAGAGAGACTCTTACTTAATTTATCATAAATGGGCGGTGTGCTTTGTTTATAGACAATGATTCAATCTATGATGGTGATGAGAATGGTATTGCCTTATTGTGCCTCTGTTTGGTGATTTCCCAATGTACTTTGCAGCAGCTAGTCTTCTTTGAAAGAATGTGTGGTTATAAAAAAAAAAGGGGGGGCTGGAGAGATGGCTCAGCTGTTAAAGGCTAGGCTCACAACTAAAAAAAATATAAGAGTTCGGTTCCCAGTACCCATGGCTGTCTTTCCAGACACACACACACACACACACACACACACACACACACACACACGCACACAAAGTCCAGAAGTTTTGGTTTCAGAAATCAGTTCAAGAGATATTCTTGAAAAAGCTAGGTCAGAGTTCTTCCTCCCTGCCCCACACTCCCAGGAATAAAGCTGAGACTCAAAATATATTTACAAATACCTTGACTGTGAAAATATATTTACAAATACCTTGACTGTGTGTCCCAGTCCGAGGGTCAGTCAACAGGTTCTAGCGAGAGAGAGAGAGAGAGAGAGAGAGAGAGAGAGAGGAGATGGAGGGGCAAGAGACGAGAAGAACGGAGACAAGACAGAGAGTCAGATCAAGTCTCATTTATTGAAAGGAAATCCTGGGTATTTATATACTTTACCTTTTGCCTTGCAGCCGTGGACAAGCAGGGAACACAGCTGAAGGCACTTTGCCATGAGCCTTGCATCGTGGATACCACATGAGCCTTGCAGCTGGGGGCACTAAACAGGAAAACAAGATATGTGAGAAAAACAAGATGTTTATCAGAGTGTGCTCAGCTGTTGTGTGCTGTTGAAAATAAGTCTCTTATCAGAATATATGGCTTGAGAGCGCTGCAAAGATGATAGCCGCTTTCTGCTAGGAGTCGGCTCCCAAAAACTGTAGTGCTAGGCAATATCCTGACTAGATCCTAGTTTAGACAACTCATTTATTTTAACCTACATTCTGCCATGTGGCTGATTACCTGTGCTTGGGTATCATGAGTCTGTCTCCTCACGTCTTCCTGAGTGACTCTTCCCATGCATGCATGGCTCTGTTCCAAAATTCTTTCTGCCTCCTGGATGCTCCACCTTTTATTTCCTGCCTACGCCATAGGCCATAGGCTTTTAAATTGACAGGTGATATATTCATACAATACACAAGATATTCTTTCTATACATTCTATATAAAAACAATATAATGGTCAATTTAACCATACTTTCTGTATCAGAGTTGGGCATGATTGCTGCTCTGTGTCTGCTTCCCCCTTGGGGTACCAGGCTTGTTTTGTACTACCAAGCTGGACTGGAGGGAGGGCAGCTTAGCTGGGCATGGATGAGTGAAGTACAGAATCTTAGTTTTTACTGGCAATGAACACACTTGAGAACAGCTTTGGAAAGTTGGTTTTGTTTATTGGTGGGGGTGGTATTTATGCCCCCCCGGGGAGGTGGCCAGAGTCTCTGGGCCAAGGTTTCTGTGGCCATGTACCATTGGCCAGGGCAGAGGTGTTGGAAGATTACCATACTTCATCAACATACTCAGGGACATGTGTGCGTGTGTGTGTGTGTGTGTGTGTGTGTGTGTGTGTGTGTGTGTGTGTAGGAGCTTATGAGGTCAAACAAGGCATGAAGTTTGATAGCTGTTAGGTTAATAAATTCTTAGTAGGGTTGATGGTGGGGGAGTCAGCTTTATGACACCAGGGTGGGAGGGGGAGAGGTAGCCAACTCCTGTCATCCTTATGTTTGAAGTATCTGGGGTTGAAGCTCCTTTGGCCCTTCCTCCTCAACCCTGGGCCATTATGATCCATCACACGATGTGGTGAGAGATTTAGTAAGGTTTTTAGATAAAGAGAAAGTAGTTCTTGAGCACTACTTGCTACAATAACAACCTGTTTTAAAGGCAGAAATATTCTCCTAAAAGCAAAGGAACACCAGAGAGAATGGAAATTACTGGGAAAATATAAAAAATAAAGAAAATAAATATTAAGGACAAGAGCATAGAAAATGTAGTTCAGTGTGTAGACTGTATCACTTCATAGAAATGTAATTTAGAGACCCTCTAAGGAGATCTGGAAAGTAAGATCAATAAAGATGATCTCACAGTGTATCTGTGTGCATTTATGTGCCATGTTTGTATATGAGTGGGCACAAACACACGTTCCATATGCATGTGGAGGCAAGAACATCTTCAGCTGTTGTTTCTGAGGTTCTAGCTGCTTTGTTTTGTGTTTTTTGCTTGGTTTGTGTTTATTTTTGATATAAGGTATCATACTGGCCTGGAACTCACCAAGGAGGCTAAGTTGGCTGGCCAGTGGGTTCTAGGGATTTGCCTACCTTCTTGTCACCCCTGGTCCTGTAAGGATGTGTCCTTATACCCAGCTGGTTTTTTTTTGTTGTTGTTGTTTGTTTTTTTTTAATGTGGGTTTTGCAGAATCAAACTCAAGCCCTCTTTCTTGCATGGTAAGCACTTTACTGGCTGAGCAGTAAAGTGCTCAAGGACACTTTATTTCAGAGTTCAAGTTTTTGGCTCATTTATTTATGGTGCTGGGGATCAAATCTAGGGCCTTGTGTGTGCTACAGAATGATATGCAATTGAACTACATTCCAGACCAAGTTATAGTTATTCATATTCATAAAATGGAATAAAATGCAATGAATGACTTTACTAATATTTTTTAAGATTTATTTTTATGTATTTATGTGTATGGTTCTGTGTGTTTGTCATGTGTGTGCCAGTGCCCTTGGAGGCCAGAAGGGGGTGTTGGATCTCCTGGGGCCTGAGTGACAGGCATTTGTGAGATGCCTGATGTGGGTGGTGACAAGTGTAGGCAAGGCTCTTAATGACTGAGCCATGTCTGCAGTCCAAGTTACCTCTTTGAAAGGATAAGTTTTCTTTTAATTCATTGACATATAGGTGTACTTCTTCACAGAATATTTCTTTAAATGTGTATACTGTTGTAATGATCAATTCTAGAAAGTTAGTGTATCCATCACCATAAAGATGAGTAGTCATCAAAGAAATACAAACTAAAAACAAGAGATATCACCAACCAACTCAGTGTGTCACAGAAAGATCTGTACTGTCATATGCATTGCAGTTCCATTCCCAACAGTCAAGGCAGAGATTCTCTACTTTATTCTGATTAAAACTTTGAAAAGGGCAAAATCTGACAAACGTGAAAAATATCCAGAAATGAGATATTAAAAGTGGGTTTTGGCTTGCTTGTTTTCTTTTGTTGAGACAGGATCTTTCTCTGTCCTCACAGCAGGCCTAGAATGTTAGCCAGGTTGGACTTTGCCTTGCCTGTCTCTGCCTCCTGAGTTCTGGGATTATAAGTATGCAACACCATATCGTGTTCTATAAACTGGTTTTTAAAAATGTTCAGGGAGACCAATGGTGGTATAAGCCTGTACTCCTAGCACTCAGGTGGCAAGAGGAGAGTGTAAAGACAACCTGGACTGTTACTATCTCTCAAACACAGCAACTCTCCAAACAAAGCTAACCAAATACACAAAAATCCAGCTAGAGCAGGAGCTGGAGCTCAAATGTAGCAAGAAGTACTCAGTAGTGCTCACTCAGTAGTACTTACTCAGTAGTACTTACTCAGTAGTACTCACTCAGTAGTACTCACTCAGTAGTGCTTACTCAGTAGTACTCACTCAGTAGTA